TTTAAATGTAATAAACATACATGCAAAAGCTTGATATCTATGGAAAGCTGATAAGTATAGATCATGAAGTTAGAGATCAATGTTACTAGCCTTGAAGCCAGAAGCAGTGAACATCACAAACAAACCGAAAGTCCAGCGGAAGTTAAAAATCGTGAACGTATTTCGGAGGAATTCTGCCGTATGCATACAGTTGGAGACTATGATAAACACCAAGTGTAAGATATTGGCGAATGGTAGTGTGCAAACTAGAAGAACAGATAGACATAACATCCCCTCAATGTCTCGTCTTAAATCTCGCAACTGTTTGTAAAAATGCAAATACGTGGAATACGCTTAATTCTTGCATTAAATAGCGTCGAACGCTAATAGCACATTGTAATTAATTTGGAAATCGTTTTTCCTTTAGCTCAGAAGCGAATAACATTCCATAAGTAATTAAAACGCCACACGTTGTGAGAAACAACTTTTTGTTTATTTGAAACATTCCCCCAGCCGTGAAACATAAATCCTGTTTCCTGATTTCGTTGACGATCAGCCAGTGCAAAAGCGACAAATTACTTTTTTCAGATTTGCAGAACGATGCTGCGATGACATCGTGCGACAGATCTTGAAGTTGGCGATCTATGTTATTAGCCTTGGAGCCAGAAACAGTGAACATCACAAACCAACCGAAAGTCCAGCAGAAGTTAAAAATCGTGAAAGTATTTCGGAGGAATTCTGCCGTATGCATATAGTTGGACACTATGATAAACACCAAGTGTAAGATATTGGCGAATAGTAAAGTGTAAAGCAGAAGAACAGATAGAGATAACGTCGCCTCAATGTCTCGATGGAGTTTCCTAATTCTTCCAACTGCTCGTAGAAATGCAAATACGTAGGATACGCTTAATTCTTGCATCAAATAGCGCCGAACGATGCTGATGTTGTTTGAGAAAACGTCCACGTAAGCCCAATAGATGTAACAAAACAGAGTAATGCACAACCCGGAAAACACGAAGAAATGCAAGAGGAAGAGTGCGGAAAATATCGCGAATGTGCCGCCAATGAAAAACTTAGTTTGGTATTCACGACTCACGTTAAACATGGCAAGATCCATGTAGTTAGGAAAATCCATTACAATCACTATCACTGAAAATGCCAGATAAGTGAAAGGAACGGCAAAACACACCACGCAGGTTATTGTCGTTTGCAAGTATAAATTCTTCCTGTTTTTCGGAAAAAATCGTTTGAAAGCTTCCAGCTTCCAAAGTAGTTTTAAAATGTCTGCTTTTTTCAGCCACATAATTACTCTCAGAGTCGTCAAAGTTATGTGCATGAGTAAAGTCGATACTCTAAGAATAAAATTGTTTTCTTTCATAATAAAGTTAGTTCCAATAACGATGGCCAGGGAAAGGGCGAAAAATATCTCAACGAAAAGCTTCAGGATGTTTATTAAATTTTGTTTACAACCTTTCTTTGGACTTATACTCCATTTTGTCATATTTAAACCAACAAGAAACATTGATCGTAAGATAATTAGAAAGGCTGGTTTCTGTTCAGGGCTCATTTTTTTTTTCCAAACTATTTTCCCTTATTTTAGGAAATTTTTCTAACGCAGCATAGCTTCTTTTACTTTCACGAAAATATATACTTTACAAGGATTAAGCACATTTATTAAAAATTTCATTACTAATTAAGAGCTAGCGCGCAAACGAAATATGGTAGGCAAGTAATGATACAAATGTAATACAACAAATTACAAACTCACGTCAGGAAAAAAAGAGTACACAATTACGAACACAATGATGTAATGTAACAACGATCGAAGCATATTTGCCTTGACTTTCTTTGGAACACTTTTTACAGAGTAGCCCCCGCTTAACAGCAAATTATTTATTTCTATTCAAATTATCAGTGTGAACTGTAAACGTTACGAAGTCGCGTGAAATCAAAATTAGACCGTAAAATCGGAAAAATATTATTAATGGATTTCCTCTAAGTAATGCATTCTATTTGAAAGAACTTTTTTTAATTCCAAAGTAATGTTTAGCTACCATTAGAACATTTTCGCATAATTCTTTTGATGGATTTTTCACAGTGATTGATTTTTTTAAATTGAAATGTCTTCTTAAAGGAAAGAAAAATTCTAATGAGTGTAGGAACATTTTTAGACCTCAGTTACGGTGTAATGGACTTGAACTTTACATTTATGTAACTCAGTTAATAAATAATCACCAAAAAGTTGTTTTTTTTATTTGATGACCAACATCAGTGGTCAGCAAACTATATTGTCACTTAGTGACCTACTGGAAAGATATTGGATTATACTTCTATATAATGCTTTTATTTTCTGTATTTTATTACCCATTGGCAAAATGGGTCTTGGTTTGGATTTGATGGCGTCCACACACTTTTCAACTGCGTAATAGAAAACATTGCGCATGCGTTGCTATGGCGACTGCTGCTGTTTTTCTTTTTATTTTCACTAGCTGACACTCTTAATGTATTTACATAATAATAATTTAAGGTATTTTTTATATTCTATTTACTATTAACGTATAATTACTGACTTGACGGTGATTTTAATATAAATATGAATGCTGGAGAAAGAAAAGTATATTGTGACGTCTTGAAACACGTACATGGGCAGGATTTGAAAACCAATATGACGACAAACATCAATGGAGACAGTTTTTGCAAACCATGATATGAAATGGTGCAAGCGTTTAAAGGAATTCATCCAGAAAGAAAAAGCATTTGACCAATGGGTAACCAGTGTTCGTAATAAGGTGATCACAACTTTTTTGTTGATTTTGTTTGTTTTAATTTTTTTTTTTAAATTATGAAATACAATGTTTCTTTTTAAGTCTTCTAAAAATTTATTTTTTATTATAACTGTCGTTCAACAGCCGAACCAATTTTTTGGGTCTACGACTGCTAATTTTCAACTCCGTAGCCTTGTAATTTTGAACCCAATCCTGAAGACAAGGGAGCTCTTGGATCAATTATTGGGAGAAAATTTATTTCGGGGAGGACTTTTTTGAACTAACTCAACTTTGTTCTCGTGGAACTAACCAACATTTGCGTTACATGGAAAGGAAAATCACAATATCCTCCCACGGTTAGCTTGACGGCAAGGGGTCTCTAACCCATGATCCGTCTATTACTGATGTATTTTTATGTCAGCGCTATGGTTGGTACTAACCGGATGCAGAATTCGTACCGGGTAGTCATCGTTGAGATTTGAACCCAGTTCACCTCATTGAAAGGTGAACGCTCTATTACCTGAGCCGTCGCGGCTCTTATTTCTGCCTTTGTAAGACATTCCGTAATCTAAAATAGTAGTTGTGTGAATTTTTGCTGAAAAAATTGAAAAATGACCCACTTGAAAAAAAGACAATGCCGACCACTGGTCAAAGTTCTTATCATCGTCTTTTAAATGGTACATTTTAATTTTCTGATTGACACCATCATGGAATTTGGAGTAAATTAATTTTTTCATTAATCTTCAAAAAATAACCACATTTGTTTTTGGAAAGTAATTAAATCAAGTTTACGTGATTTAAATATTGAGCTTCAGTATTGAGCCCGTAATCAACCAATTCATAAAGAATTGTTGTTGCTGTTGACGTATGTCTGTTAAGGCTGAGGGAAGCGATTGTTCTTGTTTTCCAGTGGCGTCATCTATGGCCAAGAATTCGACTTCCGCCACACCCATTCTTAGCACCCGTTTATAGGGCGGGCCCATTCATACATCCATTCATTCACAGATCGCAATTTTAACTTGAATCAGAGAACGATCGATCTCCAATCCAGTACCCCCAGAGGTATTGATTTGTTAAGGGAACATGGAGGACTTTGCGACTCGACATATTTAACGTGCATCAGTCACTATTTTACTACACGGGGAGTCTTCGGCGGGCGGGGTTCGAGCCCACGAACTCTCGGACATGGGCCACGCCCTACCGACCAGGCTATCCCGGCCTTCATAAAGAATTAATTATAATTATAATTATAAATTATAATTATTAATTTAAATTATAATTATAAATTTAAATTATAATTATAAATTATAATTATAAATTATAATTATAAATTATAATTAAATGCGATATATTTTATCAGCTAATATAATGTTAGAAAATTTTGATTCATTATTATTTTTAATTTTGTACATTACTTCATGTTATTTTGATTTTTTTCTCTATTATATTTTTTTCTATTCTAAATATTATTATATTTTCCTTAAGAAAAGTACTTTCTAATGTTATTCAATAAAAATCAAATTTTAAAGCAACCATTATGTCATTTATTTTTGATAATTTAAAATGTAATATATATAGACATTTGTTTGCTTCTTTTTGTTTGCAGAAACATGGTTCTACCTCTTTAAAAATTTTGAAATTTTGCATGCTAATATACGCACCTCATATGCTTTTATTTAACTAGTTATTATTGAATTTTTATTTATAACTTTATTTTTAACAGAAAATTTAAAAAGTAGTTTTTTTTAAAAAAAAAAAAAACTTTTAGACATGCCTTATTTGTTTCATCCTTATGTAATACATTGCTTAGATACTATAAGCAAACTACTTCATTTGACTTTTGAAACATAGGCGCATATTATTATTATTTCCAGAGATCTTTTATTTTCTTAACAAAAAGAATTTTGAGCGTGTTGTAAAAATGTATTATTATTAAACAAAATCCTTTAAATATTACATTTTAAAGTCTTCAAAAAATAAATGCAACGTTTCTTGATAAATTTTAATTATCTAACGAAAATATTGGCCAATGTAAAAATAATACAAATGAGATAGATTAGAAAAATAACGCGATATTTTATTACATATTGATATTTTGACAATATACATATGAAATATACATTTAAAAAAATCATACTTATCGGCAATAGGGACAAATGTTCGTTTTGGCGCCAACAAAGTCGCCAACACATGGTCCTTATAACCGTTAAGTACCATAAATCAGAAAAATAAAAATTGACGATATTAAATCGCCGGGATTGTGGGTTACTTATGATGCTGAGATTTCGTTGACCGAGAAAAGACTTTCAACTATTTTTTATTTAGAAGAGAGATGTTCAAATCGCCACTAAGAAAATGTGTTTTATAAATCGTGTTCTATTCACCTGTAATTCTCATCCCGTTTTTCACGGAAATTCATGCAAACTATTTAAACAAGGATACTATCTTCCTTTAGCCGTGTCGTGCTGACCACAGCAACACCTGCTGTCCGACACTCACTACAGGTCGAGCACCTGCTCGCCAAGAATCAGGAAGCTAAAAAGTAATTCTCCTTTTTTAATTGAAGTAGATTCATTTTGGCGGCATTTTAACCAGCAGCAGATGGAATATTTCTACCTCACTCTCGGCTTGTTCTTAGTTCTATCGTCCATGAAAGGTATGTTGATCTGGGGAAAAGCACTCCACGCTCCCCTGCCGGCGCTAAGTGATTTTGATTTATGTAATAATTATGAAAATATCAATTAAAAAAAGTTTAGAACAATAATTTCGCTTTAACGCTAGATTGCCCAAGTCATTTTGATTGCTTTTTCATTTGCAAAAAATATGCAAATAATAATGCATAATTTTTTTTTCTAAGTAAAGTAAAAAATTTTTATTGTTAACATTTACTAATAACTTGTTATATAAATGTAAATAATATTAAAAATTAATTAAACATATTTTTTACACATTAGTTATTATTTCACAATGCAGTCGTTTTGATCGATTTTGGGCAATAAAGGTATATACTAAGCTTCAGTCCTTCTAGTGCAAATATCTTAGATATCAAAATAAGAGGATTGGAAAAAATATATACTGAATCAAAAATCGTATAATCAATAATAATAGAGTATCACATAATCAATAATTCAGTCGAAAATAAAATTTCTTTGGGGCTCTGTCGGAAGAAAATATTTAAAAGATCCCGCAAAAATATTCTGTTCGAGATCCAGCAAAGCTAGCAAGTTCCTAATGTTATTTTTGTAATACTAGAAAAATGTTATATGTTTTTAGGAATTAAATTTAAAAAAAAAAAACAATATATAATCTTTTAATGTAATGAATGATTCAAAATTCTTATAATCAAAAATAATAAAGTATCATATAATCAATAATTAAGTAGAAATTAAAATTTCTTTGGGGCTCTGTCTAAAAAAAAAAAATTTTCTTAAAAGTCTCCCAAAAAAAAAAAAAAAAACTAATGCTATTTTTGTAATAACGGAAAAATGTTTTATGTTTTTAGGAATTAAATTCGAAAAAAAAACAATATATAATCTATTAATAAAATTAATAATTCAAAAATCGTATAATTAATAAATAAAGTTACATTTAAAACAATAAAATGTAATAGGAATTAAATTCGGAAAAAAAACAATATATAATCTATTAATAATTAAAATTCAAAATCGTATAATTAAATAATAATTCAAAAATCGTATAATTAATAAATAGTGACATTTAAAACAATAAAATGCAATAGAAAAAATTTAAAATCTCGTTTGCCAAGTAAACTAAAAACGAGTAAATTTATTCAAACCTAAAATAACAAAGGTTAGGCGCATTATTTTCGAAAGACTTGGGGGGTAGTTTTAGGTGGTGATAAAGGCGTATAATGAAAATTATGCTTCCTACATTTTTCGTTTTAGGTCTTAGAAATAAAAAATTATTTCGTCCCTAATAGTTTTCATGAAACAGTTTTTAAAATTATTATTTTGTTTTATTAATTTTTTTCATTATAGTTTTGTGTCTGTTTGTTTATGTCAAAAAAATAGTTAATAAAATAGCGGTTACTATTTTTGGAAAACTATTAAAGCTCGTATTTATTAAAATTCCAAATAAAATTTAAGCATTCTAGTAAGTCGGAGAATGATCGAAATTTTAATTACTGATACATTTTTTTGTCGATAATATCATGATTTATTTAGTTTTTAACGTTCAGAAAATGATTGAATCTGATATGGCACTGAATCAAGCACAGAACTCCAATCAAAATTTGAAAAAACTAGTTAGTAGGAAAATGCGCCAAAATTTTGATTGGCGATAAAATTCTTTTAATAATCATTTACCGATAAATTCTGCTGTAAATCGATAGATATAACGATAAATCCGATCCTGAAACTGCTGAAAATTGACTTGTCATCAGATACAAATTTTTATATTAGATTTAAGAACTCTAATTAGTTAAAAATAGTTCGAAATTACTGTTAAAGATTGATTCTGGAAATTTTAATGCAAGGTTCCACACAAACAGACGCGACAGCGAGTGAATAAAACGGTAGTAAAAATCAGATTTCCTTTAAAAATAAATAAATAAAAGCAGTTTAAAATTGATCAATTTTACGCACTATACTATACTAACACATTTTTTTCTTATTTTTTAAGAAATACTAAAAGAAACATTTTATAAATTAAGAAGTCTTTCGATCATGCGATTTCTCATACCAGTTAATGAAGTTTAAAGCTTTTAGAAGTTTGAGGGATCGACAATAAATTACAAACGGAAAATAATGTTTTTGATCACGATATGCCAAAAAATGTAGCAATAAATTTGTAATTGTTAACAATTATTTTGTTTATTATATGCAATAACTGCACAACATTTTTAAACCTATATTATAATATTAATGAAAATATGGACATTTTCATGCTAAATTTTTCGTCTTACGTTTTTTTTTTTTTGTTGTTGTTGTTGCTAGAACTTTAAAAATATTTAATAAAATTAAACAAAATTTTTGAAGCAATTTAAAATTAATTACAAACTTTTTTTTTAAAAATTTAAAAAAATTTTTTTTTAATAGTTTCATACTGCGTATGCGTGATCAAGATTGAAAAAAAAAATTTCCTTCATAATTTTGTAGTAAACTGTATATGGCAGCCAATGAAGAAAGCCCGATTTGAATTTAAAAAGTTTCAAGCAATTTTCTAAATAGTTTTTGTACTTTTTAAAAGAAACTCGAAATGGTAAGGGGTTTTCTACAAATATTATTTTGTATCATAAGACAAAATTAAATAACGAATGATAATCCCTTAACACCGAAACATAAGGAAAGAAAATATACTTTTAAGGGGGATAATCCCCAACAATGCCGATGTCAATTTTAATAAATCTTGTTTATTAGTACAAAATGAAATTTGAGAAAAACCCCTTATCATTTTGAGCTTTGCGTTACCCGTAAAGGAAACTCACGAAAACCTCCCAAGGATAACCTGACGGCAAGGGAACTCTTTATATTCTGAGCCATAACGGCTCGGCCTGATTAATAATAAAAAATGGTTGCTTATAAAAAAATAATTTCATTGAGATAATGATGAGCTGGAATCCTATTACAGCCAAGCAATCTGAAAAACATTTTCGAGGTTTTCCTTTGCGTGTAACGCAAAATTTTANTGTATTAACGCAATAAAAATTTTCGCGATCTTTTACTTGAATGGCAATTAATTTTGATGTTAAATTTTTTTAATCCTCATTAAAAAAAATTTCATTCGAAAATGTAACAGTCTACTTAGCGTCAAGAAACAAAAATGACTATGTTGCAATCGAGGAGTCGGTGAGCGATACGAGCAGTGTATGGAGCCTTCTAATGTATTGTATTAAATGTGATTTTATTAATTTTAAATGACCGTTACTATTTTTATAAAAAAAAATTTAATATTTTTTTTTTGAAAAAAACAAAAAAACAACTGGGGTTTTAAATGCTAAGTCTTCTCATTTATTTATTTCATAATGATCTATAGAACAATACATAAATAATTCAAGTATTCAAAATCTTTAAATCATAAATGTAATGCGTTTTTTAGAAACTTTGGCAAATCTGTCAATGATTTTTTTCAACATCCAAATCAATTTCTCGATGAATGTTTAATAATGCGAGTCCATTTAAACGTTCTTGATTTTGAGTTGCTCTAAGTGTGCTAAGTTTGCTCTTGAGTTGCTCTAAGCCAAGTTTTGAGACGTCAAAGAGTTGAAAAGGAACGTTCTGCTGTTGCTGCACTAACTGGCAGAGTTATTAAAATTCTCAACAACCTATCGATTGATTGATGGGTGCAAATCGATGTCACAGGCATTAATAATCTTGGAAAGATCGTTGGGCACTTCAAGTCCTGTTTCTGTTTCACGCTGCCATTTTGCCACCCAAAGACGGTATTCTGTTTCGACAACTTTTACGGAAGCATTTAAGAGATTCTTATAAAACTCGGCAGTTTCACGAACGGCTATAAGATCTTCTTTTGTAACAGTTAGACGAGGTGAAAAAACTCGTAGATTAAAAAGTTTCATCACATCTGGGGAAAGTCTGTCCTTTAAATCTGTTAAAATATTATCTAATAAAGGAATATAAATAGCCTTCCGAAAATATTCTTCAGGGGGTCTGGTTTGATTATTTCTTTATGTTTGTTGAGAAACTAACCGCTTTGGTCGCAGCTCAACATTTAATTGTTCAGCAACATCTTCAGAAAACATTTGTTGAAAAACAGTATCGACCCTTTTTCTTTAATTCTGGAGAATAGTAATAGTATCAGTCAAAGCGGTTGTGGCCCTTTTTAAATCCAGGGATGGAGTTTTCAAGTTTCGCAAGTTTCCCATCTTCACCTTTATACAATCTTTGGTTAAACCTGTTGGAGCGTTCGGCGTGCTTCACCATTATTAATTTTTACAATGAAACTATGACGAATTTCGTTTTAATCTTTTGGATTATGATTCTTGAAACAGTGAAGAACATGATTAGATGAAGAAGAAAAAAGCAATTTTTCTGACCTACCTAGGTGTCTATGCAGGGTCGGATTAAGAGCCTTAGAGGCCCTAAGCACTTACAAGATTTTGATGCTCCTTAAATGAAATTAAAAATATCAACACAAATAAGTGAAAATACTTTTCTTAAATAAAATTAGAGTAAGTTTACAAAAGTAAATTTAGATAACTGAAAGAGGAGGATCTATAATGGGAATAAAAAAAATTCAATTAACTGTTTGAAGAGTTTTCAACGCTAATCACATATTTTGTGATCTTAGAGCCGAGCTAAAATTATTTTGGTAATTCTGATGTTTTATTTTTTAAAAAATTCCCTGTCCCACAAGCTATTTTTTTTTTTATTTTAATTCTATGAAATATAACATAATTTTTTATTCAAACTTTCTTGGTGTTCCGTAATATCGTTTAATATGCTCTTTAAATTTTTTCTATCAAATAAGTGAAAAATTTTTATTGTGGATCTCAAATTAATATTCATGTAAAAAAAATTATCGACCATTAACGAATTTCTATAGAGAATAAAAAAATGCGCAAAAGCTTAACACTGTATCAAAATTGAATTAATAATCAATGAAATTAACAAACAATTTTTCTTTTATCTTTGAAAGTGTTGGGACACCTGTGATAAATCTCTGTGAGTTTATAGAATT